AAGGTGTAAGCTGGGAGGTTTCAAGAGCCTTCTGTCTCACTAGTTCCTTGTACAGAACGGGGCAGATGTTATCGTGGGATCTCATAGATGAAGAGCTCTGGAATTTTCTGGAGGCTCCAGTCATCAACCTACCTCACCGGGACAGAGGGGTAAAGGCCCTGGGGCAGTACAAGCACAGTTGAGTCTGCTGGTCCCAGGAAGCTGGAAGCTGACAAGGCCAGACAGAGTGAAACACTGAGACATGTACCACAAGACACCTGCAGAGAGGACGGAGGACAGTCTGTGGAGGAAGACGGTTCTCTCCTCCCACCATACGGATCCCAGAGATCAAACTCAATATCACCAGGCTTGGCAGCAAGTGCCTTTACCTTCCCAGCCATCTCGCTGGCCCTAAAAATGTCTAAGGATGGCACTGGCCGCTGAGTGGAAATGGGACAGAAGAAGTCAACAGCAGAGCTTAAGAAAGTTTGGGAGAACGGGGGTTTGTGCTGTTTTTTAGGGTGCGGAAGAACAGGCGAAGATAGCGTCCAAGTAGTTGTAGGCAATGGGCAATGGCCAGTCTGGGCAGGGTGGTGGGTCCTCCATTCCCAAGGCATTATGGGAGGTGAGGGTATCACAAAAGTAGATGGGGGGAAAAAAGAGCAGCTTACCTTGTTCTTGTGGAGTTTGGTCTCTGTCAAACCAAGCCATCTGTGCTATTCGAACCCTCTGAACTGAGCGACACAAGCTTTATGTGCAGAGCACAGGAAGAGGGCAAGCTCTGGGGTGTGCTCTAAGCCATGAGCCTCCAGGGAGAGCCGATTGAGTTATCCACCCATCACCAGCCTCCTAGTGCCTCATCCACCCAGGAAAGAACAAGACACACTGAACATAGACCGTTCTGGAAGAGCACCTCTTGGCGTTCACAGATAAGCTGCCAAAGGGCCATTAAAGGAGGCCTTGAGGGACTCTGGAGCGGTGATTTGCTCAACTTTGAATAAAAGAATCCCCAAAGTCCATGAAAAGCCAAGAGCGCTTGGCACCCGACTGTGGCTGGCATTTTCCCCAGCGACTGCCGCCCCCTGCTGACCAAATCAGCACATGGCAGCCTGCCTGGCGGCACAGCACACAGTTCTGGGCTCTTCCACTCTGCATTCAGAACACAGGGGAGGTGAGTCAGTCCCACAGTTTCTGCGCTTTATTGAGATGTCCACAAGCCAAGCATTGCAGCAGCAGAGACACAAACAAGCAGGCCCGCTCGAGTGGCAGGCACACAAACCTCAAAGTCACGGCCACAGGAAGCTTCACGCCAGATGTGGAGCCTTGCCTTACAGCCAATTGTAAAGCGGGGCACGGCTGCAGCCTCATGTAACACCCCGGGGACTCACCATGTCCCAGGCTGTGTGTCAGAGCTAGTGTTTACGAGCTTCCCTGTTGTATGTATTGTCGTGGGAGCAGGTAGGATAACAACTGAGCTGCCAAGACTTGAGGGGCAAGCAGACAGAAATCAAAGCTGGGTAGTCTGGTCCCTAGACCTTGGATTTCCATTTTAAGCCCTAAGTCTGTGGTTCCTGTTTATGGAAGAGCTTGACCCCAAGGGGGATATTTGGCCATATCTGGGGACCTTTTGCTGCTGTCTGCAGAGAGTGATGATTGGAGAGCTAGTGGGCCAGAGATGCTGGGGAAAGAAAAATAATCTCACAAAGTGCATGGTCGCTCCCCATGCCAAACAAAAATTGCCCATATTAAAATATCAGCTGTGCCCAGGGGAAGCCCTGATCTACACCCACAAGACGCACAGAGTCCTGGCGCTCTCTGCCCAGCACTACCCTAGACATGCATGCATCAGAGTAAAAGAGAAGTCATTTTTCCCAGGTCCCAGTCTAAACTATACAAGGTACCCCTCCATACACATCCCCTCCCCACAAGGGTCTGTCTTGTGCCCAACAATTTTGCTACTACATTATGTATTCGATGGGGCCCCAATGTCATCCAGACTGAAGGAGGACCCGGGCTGTTCACAGTGTGTTGATGGAGGAGCCTGGACTATGCAGTGGGCCTGATCAGCCCATGCCTCTTGCACAGAGTGTGGCAGCTGCCAGTGGCTTTATGCTGCAGCTCATGCATGCTGCTGTCTAGGTTGTCAGGAGTTCAGTGACCCCAGAATGATCCGTAGGTCTCTGGGAAGAAAGTGCCAGCGGCTGCCTCTATGATTCACTTTCAAGAAGAGCCTTCCATGCAAAGCCCCCACTTCAGCAGCGGCAGCCAGCCTTGGGAGCAGCACTGTTAACCCTTCCTGTTTAGCAGAGAATTCAGCTCCAGCTTAGAGCACAGTCAGGGGGGAGGGAGGAACCAGGACCAAACTACCCCAGTGGGAGTGATTGCTGTACCCTTCTCAGTGGCAACATTATCTGGGTGAGGACCTGTGCCCATGGATGGGGGCTTGTTGGCTAGGGCTGTGGCTCAGTGGTGGAGCCCTTCTAGTGGGCACGAAGCCCGGGATTCAAGTCCCAATATCACAAACAATAAAGAATAAATAAGATAAACAACCAGTGCTCATCAAATTACCATAAAGGTAAACCTTATGAGATCTGTCTCCTTAAAAAAACTCACTGAAACCGGGTGGTGGCGGTGGCATACCTTTGATCACAGCACTCGGGAGGCAGAGGCAAGTGGATCTCTGTGAGTTCAAGGCCAGCCTGGTCTTCAGAGTGAGTTCCAGGTCAGGCTCTAAACCCCCCCCACACACACAAAAAAAAACACCCTACTGAGTATCTCATCATGCTGGAGACTGTCCTAGAGGCAAGAGCCCAAAAATATTTTGTCTTTTCTCAGGAAGCTGACCTTCAAGTGCAGAATTTTATAAAGCCCCATGGCACCTCCTTCCCACCTGTGGCCAGTGCCAGGAAGACAGTACAGTAAGGAAGGAGACAGGCAGCCAGATGGAAGGAGAGTCTTTCAAGTAGATGCCTAGGTATTGACCTCTAGGGACATGCCACTGGGACAGTGAACTGAAGGTCACTGAGGCACAGAGTCCTACAACCATGCTAGGAATATTAAGCGCAAAGACCCTGAGGTAGGAATGTTTGTGAGACACTGGAGGAACAGTACAATGCCCAAAAATAAAGCAACCCTGGCACTGCCTAAGAGTTGGGGCTCAAATAGAAATATACATTGAAATCGCCCTGTGGTCACATGGGTCACAGCATGGGGGGGACCTGCTGGTCCTCCCCCAAATCCCCCAAATAACTATGGATTATCTCCTTAATTGCCTGCCTCCCAGCTGGGCTAAGTGGCTGGGCCCCAGTCACTACTCCGTGCTTCATAAATACTCTCTAAATATATGTAGGATGAATTCCTCAAAGAAGGTGCTACGTGACTTTTCCAGGAGACATGCCTCTTCACCAGACAGGACAGACAGACCAGTAAACAACCCTACCCGCAGCCAGCACGACAAACCAATGAGTTCACAGGAGTCTCATACGGGAGCCTGGGTAGCTCTCAGGAAGTGATAACTCCAAGAGCTCCTCATGGCACAGGCCCCTTTCCAGAGAGACAGATCTTCCCCTTCTAAGTATTAGCCATCACCCTGGGACCCAGCGAAAATGAGAAAGCAGTGAGGTGCAGAGCCACGATGGGGTGGATGGGTGGATACACGCCTCCCCTACCACTACCACCACAAAGACTTGTGTGTTGAGAGCCTAGGGATGGGAACTAAGGCTTTTAGGGGAAGTGGCCAGATGACCCGAGCTCTGACTTCATCAGGGGATCCATCCATTGGTGGGTACCTAATGTGATGGGCCACTGGGTGGTAACTGGGTTCTGGAAAATGGAATCTAGTTGAAAGAGAGCGTGTCTTTGGGGCGCATCATTGGAGCACTTTCTCCCTCTCTCAACATGAGGGGCTATATGCTTATATGCTACCCTGGTTATGATGTTCAACCAAACGACCAGGCTAAACCTTTCCTGGTGTAAATTGTTTCTCTCTGGTGTTTTGTCCTAGCAACAAAAGCCCAATACACGGACACTTGCTTGTTTCTTGTTTTCTATCTACTTCTGAGGTCTGGAGGTGAGGTGACTTGCCCAGTCATACCCTAACTCTTGGTGACAAAGCAAGAAAGGCTCCCAGGAAAACCAGATGGCCTTTACCAACTCTCCCCTCATGAGGGGCAACATCGGGATGGCATCGTTTTATCCACAACAGAGGAAGCAAGCAGACTGAGAAGTACAAATCCCCTCAGTAAAGTGGCAAGTTTTCCCACCCATTCAAATCCCACCTGATTTAGATTTTATATTTTAATTTCGTTTAATTGATACATTTGTTATATTTACGTTTGTATACATTGTATGACTTTCCATCCGGGCAAATGTCTCTACCCAAACATTTATCATTTCTTTGTGAACATTCCTCCTCCTGTCCGGCTTCTGGAAGGTGAAAGGCAACGGTGCTGTCCGCAGTTGCCCCGTTTAAAGCACTACGGGCCTTCCTACTCTTAACTACACTGTAACTTCTTCCTCAACATTCCGCATCCTGCCTTTCCCGCTATTTCGGGTTTTAAGGCGCATAACACACTTGGGCTTCAAAGATGACATTTTGTTTCTGGACATAAGACAGGGGCTAGATCTGTGGATGCTCCGTTGAACCTGGGGTCGGAGGTAGGAGCCATCAGGCCCGGGCTCTCGAGACTGCGGCTTCCTCCACTGCTCAGGCGCCGCTCTAGCGACGTCGCCCCGCCCCACTCGGGCGAACCCATTCCCAGGAAGACAGGGGTGAAGAGAACCCTGAACTCTTCGTGATAGTTCAAGCCATGCTCTGGCCAATCAGAAAGCGTCACTAATACCCGCCTCCAACTGCATCCTCGGAGGCGTGCAGCGGTGATTGACATCATCTGAAGCCATTGGCCAAGCTGAGAGCAGTTAAAGGCAGAAACCTCTGCCCGCATCGTCCGGCGAAGGAAGACGGTTTTCCCCACCTCCTTCTTCTATTGGGTCTCTGAAGCCTCCGAGCGTTTAACAGCAACCAATCGGAGGACCAGATGGAGGGAGGAGGCGGATTGGTGATGGTTGCCAGGAGCCTGTTTGGCGCGACTCTTGGGACCAGAGGGACTTGTCGGTTGTGTCCCAACTCTACGGCAGGGGCCTGGACTTGAAGGCTGGGCTAGGAGCGGGTTCCGCTCCACCCCGCCCCGCCAGCACCTCTGCAGGCTGCCTGGGACCTTGAGGCCCAATGTCCACCCAACCCTAGCTCCCGTGCCTCCAACCATCGCGGTCTCAGGCCCTGGGATCAGCTGCCCCCAATCCAAACCCTCTTTCACCCCCCAACTCCATCCCTGCTAGTGCCTGGTTACCATGGTGAAGCTAGCAGCCAAATGCATCCTGGCAGGTGAGTAGTAAAAACTCTCGAACGTGTGTTCCTGGGGGCCTGAGCCGTCCTAACTCAGGCAGTTTTGATTCACGATTGCGTCCAATGTCTGTCTCCCGTAGGAATGCCTGCAGTGACCAACAGACAGAATTCAGAAAGCGGGGTGGGGGGTGGGGATTATTCCCTCTGCCCGACACACTTGTAGCTGTTGTGTTCCCTGTCTCCCTCTCATATTTTGAGGCCACTATCACCAAGTAGACTTATAGTACAAACACAGACTGTACTCCAAAGCTAGGCGTCAGTGACGCTGGCCTCACAAAGTTCCTATCATTTACGCTGACCCCCCCCCCCCCAATAACCAGGAAGACGGGGGTCGGGTGGAGTGAAGTGGGTTACAGTGCTGCCAAGCTGAGAGTATATGGACTTGGAGTTTCCCCGGAAGTAAGAAAAGTAAGAATCTTGTTATTGTTGACCGGCCTGGAAGTAGCCTGCGCATCGCCTCGATCATGGATGAGTATTAACTCGATCCGTGCAGAGTGAGCCGGTTCGTGGTACCCGCACCTGTGGGTTTGCCTCGGGTCAGTCCAAACATTGAGAAGACCGTTTGCTTCTCTTGTAGACTGGTTAACAGCAACCGCGTAGGCACCTGTATTTCATTCACTACCACAGCACAGCAGGGTAGTTTCCGTGTGGTCCTGATGTGACCACTGAGTGATGTTAGGGTTACTGGGGTGAACCCCTAGTGAAGATCGTACACAGACTTCCAGTCCACCTGACTCCAGATCTCTGTTCTTGGGTTGGTCGGGTTGGCTACTTTTCTTGTTTTGATAACAAACTTGACAGGCAGCATCTTAAAGGATGAAGGGCTTATTGGGGCTCACGGTTCCGGGGGACAGTCCATCATGGTGGGGGAAGGCACAGTGGCAAGGGCCAGTGACTGGCTAGTCGCATTGCTTCCAGTCAGGAAGCAGAGCCGTGAGCATTGCTGCTCAGTACACTGTCCCCTTTTTCTCCAGTGGGGGCTCCAGCGTGTAAAATGGTGCCACCCACCTTTAGGGGTGGCCTCCCCCTTCATTAATTAACCTGACACACCCAGCCCATGATTCTTCTCCGTAATCAAGAAGTTAACCTGGGGGTGGGGGAGTGTCTTTGGATCTTTATCCTACAGACTGAGAGTAGGGGATAGTACCCTTGATGACTTTTCTAATTTGAAAATAAAAAGGGTCACACAGAAAGATGAGTGACAGCCCTGACTCAGGCCCTATTGCAGCAGAAGGAACCCTGGCTCTCCAGAGCACCTCTAGTTCTCAGAGAGCCAGAGGAGGCGGTGTTGTGTAACAAAAGGATGTTGGTCAGTCCTCTTCCCCAGCTCTGTTGCCTTGGACAGTGTTCAGCTTCTGCACGGGTAAGTTGGGGACATCTTCATTTTTCTAAAGTTAACTTTCTTTTTTTAAATGGGGGGCGGCTCAGCCTGCTGTTCTTTGCTCATTTCTCTTTAGCTGGTGAGCTCTCAAAAACCAAGAAACTCTTGTCATAAGCCACTCTCCTGAGACTTGCTATGTGCCGACCCCATGTCACACCCTCGGTGCAAGTCTCTTGCGAGTCCTCACAGCCACCAGCCAGTCCTCGGTCATCCTCATGTAAGATGAGGCAGGCAAGACCCATACTATGAAGATGCTGGCCCTAGGTCCAGACCCAGGTACTGCGCCTGCCACATGCTTCCAGCCCAGCCAAAGTCAGCAGTGGCTCCTGGCCTCCACTCCAACCTGGTCCTCAGTCTACAGCTTCTGTGGCTTGAGATGGTGGGAGATAAAATGGCACAGTGGCCAGGCTCCTGTGTTTCATCTGTTTAACAAACAACACTGTGTATCAGGCAGGGGACACACTTGCTTATTAACACTGTAGCAATTCTATGAAGTAGGTACCGTTCGTTGTTAGCCTATTTTACAGATGTAACAAAGGAGGCACAGAGAGTGTAACTACCTGACCTGATATCACACAGTTAGTGTGGAGCTGGGGTCTGGCCCCACATCTTTGCCCCTTTGGTGATGAATCTCTTGGGATGTGGGACAATAGTCATGCTTCCCTGGAGTGTAGGCATCTGTTCTATTGCTGCGAATCTGGTAGGATAGCCACCCTGGTAAAGACAGCAGAGGGACAGATGACCTCAGAGGCCACACAAGTAGCCAATTGAGATCTGCCTAGAAAGGACCGGATTTTGGACTTGGATTGGAGAGGGGACTGGAACATGTCCAGGGAACAAAAGGACAAGCATTGTACGTACGTCCAGATTTCCTATAAGGGACCATTGGAGATGGTTGGATGGTCAGCTAGAAGTTGACCAAAGAGAGTTGTGGATGCCTGCTGTGGGTGAAGGCGTGGACTCGGGGCCGTTCTGTTCTGTGACCCTGATGGGGTTGGAATGCAGTTGGCGGCAAGGAGAGTCAGGGAATGGTAATGGCAGAATCAGCTCTGGACCTGTGAAGACTGCCAACCAGCAGAAGTTCTGCGACACACAGCGGTGGTGCAGAGTTGGAAGGACCCCGCGGAGCTAGGTGCAGGCCTCTGGGGAGGGACACTGCCTGGCTGGCACAGCATTCAGTTCCGTCAACCCTAGGGCGATGTCACCACATGCCACATTGTCACCAGGACCTGTTTCCCCTGGCAGAGAACTCAGCTCAGCTTCAGAGTCAGGTGCCCCCAGCCCATTTCTGTGTTTTGAGACCTCGCAGCAGGTTCAAGCCAAATGTGGGGCCTGTGTCCTGGTGACCATCACGTAGGTGGCAAAGCAGCCTATCGGAGGCAAGGACACTGGGGTAGTCAGGTGCGGGGATCATCGTCTCCAGGGCTGAGCAGAGAAAAGCTCAAAGAGGGAGCTCCCAGTCCTGCGGGTGATGTGTGAGCTCCTGGGATAGCTGTGGGTGGTGGAGGTAGGCTTGAGAGACAGCCCAGAATAGAAGAGCCAGGAAGAAGACTGGGATGCAGGAGGTGGTGGTGTTCATAACCTGGGACAAGGAGGCTGGATACTTGGTGGTGTGGTGGGCAGGAAGACTAGGGTAGACAGAGAGGTCACTCAGGTCTGTGGTGAGATGTGGGCTTGGCTGTGAGCAAGCAAAATGCAGAAGACAGTGGAAGCCCCACAATGGCCATGGCTTCGGGGAACCCCGCACCCTGCAGCCACGTGGACTCACAGGCTCTCGAGGTTTCTCATGTTCCTTTCCTCGGATGCCCTGCTTCTCAGCTGCGTTGTCTGCCTTTTCACTTGTCATCCTGTTGCTCTGAGAATGTGTTTATCAGCTCCCCCGCCTCCCCATGCTCCGATCCCTCCTAGCCCACACAGGAACTTCGCTGCCAGCCCTGGTGACTGGCAGTCAGCAGAAAGACTCACGAAATCAACCAAAACCAATCTGTGGGGGAATTTCCCAGGGAGAAAGAGCCAATTTCCTCCCAGGTTTAGGAACAGAATGGGAGTCAGGCTAGTGACTGACTACCTTCTGGGCTATCAACAAGGCATGGGGAAGAATTGCTAGGCTCTCTGCCCTGGGGTAGGTGGGACCCACAGACCCTGAGAGGCCATGGTGCAAAGAGCCTCGAGGTGGCATTTGGGATGCTCAGCCAGACCAGCCTAGTAAACCAAGGCAGCATAAAAACCCTAGAGGGGTACCTCGCTTCTACGAGCTGTCTTCACCTGTGACTTCAGTAGGGGGTGCAACACGGGAGGGAAGGCCTGAGAGGGAAGGAAATCAAGTCCTGAACGGCTCACTCGGCCCTAGCAGAAGTCTCCTACCTCGAGACACCAGTTGTCATGTAGTTGTCTCACGAGAGAAAATGACAGGTAGGGGGAGTCAAAGGGGAACAGTGTCCGGAGCTGCAGGCCGGAGAAGGCAGACAGAGGAAGCCACTGTGAAAGGGACTGAAGACAGAGATTGGGTGCTGGTGATGGCCCTGAGGGTCAGGGACGTGAGCACGCAGAAAGCAGGTGCCCGGTAACACCTGGGCAATGGGAATGATAACCCTGCACGTGTAAAACAGCCAGATCAGCACGGGTCAAGGCTACAGGTGGAAGAGTGGAGGGGGCAAGGCACCCTGAGCCATCCCTATGACAGCACCGGAAGAACTTGCTATGAAACCGCTCCCTTTTATCATGCAAAAGACTCAGACCTAGGCCTGAAAACTGACCAGGAACCTTTATGATGTGTGAGTTCCTGGAGCTGCTTGAACAAGGACTGAGAAGGGCTCAGCCCAGCTGGGCCAAGTGGCTATAGGATATGACTGTGGATGCGGGGGGGGGGGGGGGGGGGGGGCTCCCATGGCTCAGCATTCACCTAGCACAAATGAAATGAAGTACTTGAAAATGGGTTTTCGCTGGGTGATGATGGTGCACGCCTTTAATGTCAGTACTTGGGAGGCAAAGGCAGGCAGATCTCAGTGAGTTCGAGGCCAGCCTGGCCTATAAAATGAGTTCCAGGGCAGCCAGGACTACACAGAGAAACCCTGTCTTGGAAAAAAAAATTAGTTTTCACCAAGGTCATGATGGAGGAAGCAACAGAGACAGCTGACCTCAGACTGTGGGAGCACAAGGACTCTGGAACAACAGTTAGGGAGCCTGCATGGGGCCGGCCTAGACCCTTTGCATGTGTGTGACAGTTGTGTAGCTTGGTGTGTTTGTCAGGCTCCTAGAAGTGAGATCAGGGCCTGTCCCTGGCGCTTAGCTGGATTTTAGGAACCTGTTCTCCATGCTGGATCACCTTGTGGGAGGAGCTCGGTCCTACCTCAATGTGATATGCCTTGCTGTGCTCAAGCCCATGGGAGGCCTGCTCCTTTCTGAGTGGAGACAGAGGAGAAGTTGGTAGATAGGGAGGGGGTAGATGAGAGTGGAGGGGGGGAGAAGGAAAGGAAGGAGGAGAAACTGATCAGTATATAAAATAAAAGAAGAAATGTTAATAAAAAATGAGCAGAAGAAAATGAGTTTTCGCAGAGCGAAAGCAACCTCTGGACATCTTTACCGTCAGTGTAGATGAGAACGCAGGCAGTGGCTCGGCCAGGTGAGGTCACGAGTTGGCTTCTCACTCCTTTTGCTGGCCAGACTCTAGAGTAAATTGGAGTCTGAAAGTGACAGGTTTTCCCATGAGGTGTGCTTTGGTGGAAGAGCGTCACTTCTGTTGGCAGGGCTCAGGAGCCCTCCTTAACCCCTGTTACCTGCTAGGTCATTCTGGTTGACAGGGCTGTGAGGTGTATAGAGATGTAGTCTGGCCTTGGTAAGCTCTCAAGATGGGCCTCCTGGACCAGTTACCTGCTGGCTACTTCCCTGCTTATCGCAAGAGCTGCAGACATATGCTCTGAAAACTCAGCAAAGTTTCTGGTTTCATGTCAAGCCCTCTAGAGTAGGAGGAGGCTCTGGTGCCTGATGGGACCCAAGTGATATCTGTCCCTCTGCTCTGGCTTCAGGAGATCCAGCCGTAGGCAAGACAGCCCTGGTGCAGATGTTCCGCAGCGACGGGACCCATTTCCAGAAGAACTACACTCTGGTAAGCTGGGGCTGGAGAGTCCCCACCTGGTCACAATGTAAAGACACATGACCGTTAACCGTGAGAGAATGACTTAGCAAAACCTCCAAGCAATGTCCTAAGAGGCCGAAGAAAGGACCGGGAAATGGTGACATGGAGATCCAGTTTCCACTGGCCACCAGTAAAGGACTGTGTCCCGAGGGGACTGGCCAGGATGCCACAGTTGCCAGGAGCAGTGGAGGTCTGGGAGTGGGAGGTTGTCAGGGCCTCTGACTTCTGCTTGGCTGGGATTTCTCTGCAGGGAGGTGGGGTCTTGCCTTGTTCTGGGCCACCCCACTGCGGGGCCCCCTAATGCCCATGATCTTGGTGTCCCCTGCAGACAACAGGTGTGGATTTGGTGGTGAAGACAGTGCCAGTTCTTGACACAAATGACAGTGTGGTGAGTGGTGGCCTGAAGCCAGGGTGCATGGGGCTGCTCCTGTGGGCCAGGGGGCCCTCCCTGCAAGGGACATGGAGCAGTGACACAGGGCATCTTTGAAGGAGGGCCTGAGGAGGGAGAGGAGGACTGGGATGTAGACCTTACCAAAAGAACTTGCTATCTTTTGTCTGAGTTCTTAACAGGATCCCTACAGAGACCCCACAACTCTTGAGGGTGAACGGTACAATGCCATGTTTGTGTAGCTGCTCCCAGAGAGAGGGTCCTTAAGGAGAACCCTGAGCAAAATGAAAGACATGGGCATCCCTGATACCACAAGAAAGGCTGACACTGGAGCCACTGTGCAGGGCAGGTCATGGAGCAGACAGTGCTACCTGCCGGGGGTTCAGAGCCAGGCAGAGGGGACTGCACCAGGAGGGGGCTCAGGGAGCTCGGGGGACTCGGCTGGCTCGAGCAGCAGCGTTGTGGATGGTCTCTGCCTGGGCTGGGAAGGCTGGGTGCCTTGTGTCCAGAGTACACGCTCACACATCGCAGAGCGGTGACAGGCTGCCCTACTTTACGCACCGTCCCCAGGCTTCCTCCGTGACCTCCTTTATCAAGAATCCTTATGTGATCTGAGAATCCATTTGGTTAACAGAGTACAGAGTGGCCTTCTGGACACCGGAACACTTGTCAGCCTGCTTAGTGTTCTGGGCTGCCAGGTGGGCAGTCAGGCTGCTCCTGCGATGTTTGTGCTTGGGGTTGGGAAAGGTGAGCCAGGTCACCATGCCAGGTGGGTGGAAGCTATGCCTCTGCCCTTTGGGCACTCTGGACTGTGCTCGCCGTCTCTCCAGGACTCGGAGAAGGCAGAGCATGTGTGAAAGCACCCATGCGCATGGCATGTTTGCTCTGTCTGCTGTTGAGCCACGTCCACAGAGAGCTGGTGGGAAACCTTGACTTGACTCTTGCCGTGTCCCCTTCTGAGATGCACTTTTCTGGTCCCAGGAACTCTTCATTTTTGACTCTGCCGGCAAGGAGCTGTTCTCTGAAATGCTGGATAAATTGGCAAGTAGTGTGTTCTTTCTTCCTGCCTACCTCCACCACCCCCTTCTCCCCAGCCCTTCCTCCAGTGGCACTCCCTGAAGGGATACTCTGGACCATCAGAAGTAGCCAGGCAGGATCCTCTGAGGGGCATCCCTCCCAGCTGGGGCTTTGGGCCCTTGACAAGTAGGTGCTCCTCCTTGCTCAATATGGCCACGCCCTGCTCTGGAATGTGCCAGAAACTAATCTGTTTCTCCAGCCTGCTATTTCTGAACAGTCCCTTCTGGGGGGTCTTACAGCCCTCCCTGACCTCCCAGTACAGGACCACTGATTCCTTCCCCTCTACGGATGCCTACAGCCAGAAAAGAGACTCTGCCCCCCCACACACACCAAGAAGGGTTATCCCATTGGCCTTGTTCTGCCAAACTCTCCAGAACAGAGGACTCTGCAGGCCCACAAGGTCAGAGCAGGGCCTAATTGTATAGGGAGGTGGTACCAGAGCCTGTGCACCAGAGGGAGAGCCCACAGCCCAGGCAGGGGCATCCTGTGACCCCATCATGGGCTGGCAGCAGGATATTTAAGGACTCCTAGGCCGACAGTCCATGTGGAACCCCAATTCTTCACTGGGTGACAGAGCCCCCTCCAGGTATTAGTGTATGGTGATTAGGGCTGATGGCAACACCCTGGGAGAAGCCAGAAGTGGTCCCAAGTTTTCACTAGTCCCCAAGTGAAAAGCCCACCGTTATGAAAAAGATGCAGGCAGACACATCCAGGGACTAGACAGTGAGGGAACCGGCATCACCCTTCGCGGCCCCGCAGTGTGGGAGAACACTGTAGCCTTGTAGTGGCGGCTCCCATAGAACTATGATGTGTGAGTTAAGTAGAACCGTAGTGGACAAGAGTGGGTTTCTGGGTAGAAAACAGCCCTGTCTCCCTCTCCTGGCTGTCCCTTGAGCCTGTCAGCCAAGGCCAGTTATCGTCCCTCTGAGCTGTTTTCTTCAGCTGCAAAGACTCTCCCAGACAGCCCTACCCTGGGCAGTGCAGTGATGCACTTGCGGCCCCAGTGAGAGGTACCTGGCAGTCACTGCTCACCCAGGTTCCAGCTCGCCTCTCCCACATGAGTGCCACTGAGCCTGGCCTCCGTTCGTTCTGTGCTGAACGGTGGCTGTCTGTGAGTGTGACAGTTTCCCAGCTCACAGCCCCCTCTCATCCACCTCCCTGAATGCCAGCTTTCCCCGCATCCGAGCATCCCTGTTACATCCCTGAAGTGTTTTTCTCCTGTCCCCTGCTTAGTGGGAAAACCCCAACGTCCTGTGTCTCGTCTACGATGTGACCAATGAGCAGTCCTTCAACAGCTGCACCAAGTGGCTGGAGAAGGTGCGGGCCCAGACTCCGGGTACCTTCCTCCCAGGTAGGAACTGCGGAGGGCCCCCTGCCCAGCAGTGCCTCTGTGCTTCAGCCCAAGGGCTTCAGGTCACTGCACACGCCACTGTGGGATTAGGACAGGGGCCTGAATCTCTGAATCTTTGACCTCAACGTCCTTCACTGTGCCCTTGCTCTGCCTCCCTAAGCCTGGGGTGGGGAGACAGTGCCACCCACCAGGAAGTGTTGTGAGAGTCTGGATAATAAGAAGGAAGGGTGCTGCATTCTGAATTGATGTTTCCAGAACGCCAACTCCGGGGAGGAATCTCTCATTTTGCCCAGGACGCAGGGCACAAGTTACATTCCAGCTCTGTTGTCACTTCTGCATGCCTTAAATCAGTTTCTTTCTCATCCCTGTGTGAGATCAACAAATTCTCCTCATTAGAGGCCGGGGAAAGCAGCCTCCAGAGACGGGCTGAGAAATTAGCGCAGCTGAGGCAGCTGGGAACGGAGCTCAATTACCTGAGTCCCTGACTCCGAGCCCAGGCCCAAGATTAGCATTAATGACCATGTCTGATGTTGGTTCCATGTGCTGGGAATTGTCACAAATGCTCTTCTGAACTTGGTCCAGGCCTGCCTGGCGCTTACAGCCCCAAGGAGATGAGAAACGTAGATATAGTTGAAGCCATGAGAGAACTCTGAGCTGCTTGTGCATAGCGAAGCCAACCTGTCCACTGTGGCCCTTGGGGACATTCCCTACTGGTACATGCCCCCTCAAGTGGTCAGCTCTGTCACCTGATGTGTCACACGCCCCCCCCCCTTTGCAGCTGACCTCCCATCCTGCCCCTTCAAAACACAATATTGTGGTTATTCCTTTTGAGCAGGTGTTTTAGTGGGGACTAAGACAGACCTGGCTGGCCGACGAACAGTGGATACTGCGCAGGCCCAGGCGTGGGCACTGGGTCAAGGCCTGGAATTCTTTGAAACGTCTGTGGTGAGTATCCCCACCCTCTGAGCCACTAATCTGGGGGAGCTCTGTGCTGGCGATTTGTTCATGACCCCAGATGCGTGTAGTGGTTCTGCTCCCAGATGCAAATCTAAGTCTTGCATTCCACCCAGAATGCTGCCGTTCCACCCAGAATGGTCAGTGTGTATCGTGAGAGTCTTCTGCGTGGCACCAGGAAGCAGGGCAGACAGCCCACCCTAGGCAAGGCTGTGTGCATTTCAGAAAGACTTTGGAGTGGAAGGTGTTCCATCTCCCTGACCTTTGAACTGTGTGAGAGCTGCTGAAGGACACAGCGCTGTTGGCTCTCAGTTTCAGTGCAGCCTTCATAATAACTCTGTGAGACAGGAGTTGTCCTGTCCCCAGTTCAGCAGTGGAGTGAAAATTGACTAGCCTAGACCAACATGACCAGGGTATACCCAACCCCCAGACCCCCAGTTTCCCATCCTACAGGAACATCTAGCGTCTTCTCTGATGTGAGAGCCCTCCTGCAGTGAGAGATGGTTCCCTGGCATCATCAGGGCTGTCCAGCACAGTGACACACCTTCTTACGTTTGGAGCGTTAAAAGTTATGGCTTCCGGACACGTGCTTCTGGCCATACCACATACCTGTTCTGAGCCTCCCATCACAGGCATGCAGATGGCCCAGACACCGGTGTCTCGTCAGAAGCCACAGCCCTTCCTCAGGAGCGTCATTGAAGAGTCCTGTTAGACCTGCAGTGGCTCCGTTGTGTGAGGTCTAACTTTGAGGTCTCTAGGCCCAATGCTTTGGCTTCCCAAAGAAGTCAGTGGGGGAGTGCGTACCCTGGTGTCACCTCCTCCAGCCGCAGGCTCTGTCACACCTACAGAACAGCCTGTGCCTCCAGTGTCCCCCACTGGCACACTTCCCCAGCCAAAGCATAGCCTTCAGGGCATGTGTTGGAGCTGAACAGGCTCTGCACCCCCCCCCCCAGGAATGGGATGTCCACCGTGGGGCCTCAGGCTCCTCACCTGTAAAATGGGGATAGAACCTGCCCTTTTCTGATTGTCGCATGCGGGAATGTAAGACACTCAATGCAATGTCCAGTCTAACTGAGTAGACACTCGGTGTGCTTGCTAGCTTTTTAAAACAGAAATGATTCCCTAAAATGGTGTTTTTGCTATTACTACTTACGAAACCCTAGAGCCAGTGGCTGGTACAGAGATGGATGTTACCCCTGCCTTGAGTCCAGTTATCACAATCCGAGATTAATGGCGTTCAAATGAGAGCTCGCACTGCATAGGTCTCCCTGGCTATGCCGTGTCATGCACCTTTAAGTGAGCAGCGAGCTGCATACCCACAACTCCCCGTTCCCTCCCCCTCTGCCTTCATCAGTCACCATCTCCTCCCCCAACACCCATATTTCCCAGAAATTAAAACCTGTCCGAACACATCAGTCACCCAAGGCTACTGGTCAGCTCTGTGCAGGTGTCAGAAGGATGCATATAAATCCTGCTTGAAGAGGCTGCGGTTGGGCACTCGGTATTAACTGTGCAAGTTAACTAGTCCCCCCTGAGTTGCTGCTAACAGGAGCGCCACTGGCGGATCGGTTAAGAAAGCTGTAATTAAAAAAGGAACATAACCCAATGTGGTTTGAGATGCTGCCAAGCCCATCTCCTCGCTTCTCCCGAAGTGCAGCAGCCTCGAGGAGGAACCTCCATGGCCCTTTGCCTTTTAAACACCCCTCCATGTCTGGCATTTCAGCCCCCCCCCCAAAAAGTCAAAAAGAACTTCTTTGAACAAAAATTAAAGAATTTTCTAGACCGAAATCAAACCCATTGTTTATCGCTGAGGCAAGATTATGCATAGAATGCAAGGGCAAGGCTAAGTTCATGGCTCTATTGGGGGGAGTACCCTCCTAGGCAGCTGGGGGCCTGCCTGCCTGCCATTTGATTGTGTAAATTACCTTTTGTGTTCTGGAGGTGCCCGACAAAGGCAGCTGCTCCTGTCTCTGTTGCTCAGTTAGCAGACAGACCAGAGAGGTTGTGTTTCTCTTCCCCATTGCACAGCTAAGGAGGAACAGGACTAAGGCCAGGACGCAGCCCTGTCCAGGGAAACATGAGCGCTTCAGCTCTTCCAGAAGGAGTATGCACCCTTCACCTCCTCACAGGACCTGCTTGCGGGCTCTTGGTGACAAAGTAAACCAAGGGCTAGTGTGGGCCTACCCCAGACGTCATCTCTCAACAGCCTGCTCTGTCAGTGTCCAAAGTGAGCAAGATGATAATCAGTCATTGGCTAACAGGGCTTCTGTTGCTGGCAGCCCCCTTAATGCATTTGGAAAATAGTTCAATTTCCATCTACTTCCAAGCACTCCATGGTGTCTGCCGAGGCTCCTGGGCATTGAATTCCTTAAGTTTTATGATGGGTTCTCCCGGCTTGTGCTATGGAGAGCTTCTGACTTCGGCTAGAAGCCCTCCCTTAAGATTTCCTAGCCCCCCCTCCCTCTACTCGGCGCTTAAGGACACTTTGGGGGTGTTATTCAGTGACATTGACTGCCTAGGACATGATGGCCACACAAGCAGAGGTGAGGCTGACTCGGCTCTCATGCCTGGGGTGGGGGGAGCTTAGCAGGTGCTTGCTGGGCTCCCAGTGCACTCTTGGCATTGAGCCCTGGTTTTTCTTGGCCAGCAGCTCCCCCTGATTGCACTTGCTTCTCCCTCACTGTGGGGTCCAGGCAGCTCTCTCCCCAGGACTGGTACGGTTCTCTCCAGCCTGAGATCAGGACGCACTGTCCAGCTGGGCCACTCCACCCTCTGGTTTCATCACTCCTCTGTAAAGTGCAGACACGCCAGCTTCTGTGATATTCCTCCCATTCCATCAGGGACACTTCAGGGCCTCATATTACGCTCTGCTGTGCCTTTGACAGCCACGGAAAAGCTTTCCAACAGGCCCTTGTACGCTCTTGGCTGCATCTCCTGTCTGCAGTGTGATGGGTTCTCTCTGCCACTTTGTTTTTAAAAATACCTAGATGGTGTGGTGGTGTGTACCTGTAATTCTACCGCTCAGGAGACTGAAGTGGGAAGATAAAGTATTTAAGGCCAGCATGGACTACATAGCAAGACCCTATCTTAAACTGATGATAATGCCGATGGTGATGCTGGTAGTGGTGATGGTGGTGATGATGATGGTGGTGGTGATGATAATAATGGTAATCATGGTGATGGTGATGATTATAGTGATGATAATGATGATGATGGTGGTGATGATGGTGGTGATTGTGGTAATGATAGTGATGATAATGGTAATGATGGTGATGATGGTAGTGGTTATGGTGATAATGGTGGTGATGATGATGATGATGGTGGTGATGGTGATGATAGAGATGATGGTGACGATGGTGGTAATGGTAGTAATGATAGTGATGATGGTGACGGTGGTGGTGATTGTGATGGTAGTGGTGATGATGATGGTGCTGGTGGCTAGGGATGTAACTCAGGAAAGTGCTTATCTAGTGCATAGCACTCTGAATTAGCACTGTTGAACACCCTATAATCCCAAAACTCCAGAGGTAGAATCAGGGAGATCAGAAATACAAGGTCAGCCTTAGCTATAGTGAGTTTGAGGCCAGCCAAAGTTACAGGAGACTTTATCTCACAAAACATATAAAAGTTATCTGAGAGACAGGATCCTGTGTTGGAGCCCCTGGTGTTGCAATGTTAGGTCCAGTTTAAAAAAAAAAAAAAACAACAACAACTCGGGAGACAGGAAAGACAAAAGCAAGCAAGTAAACAACAAACAGGCACCCTCATTGCAGGTAGTTGGTGGCCATGGTGTCAGGACAGTGCCCCCCTTCCTTTTTTTTTTTTTTTTTTTTTTTGGATTTTCGAGACAGGGTTTCTCCGTAGCTTTTGGTTCCTGTCCTGGTACTAGACCAGGCTGGCCTCGAACTCACAGAGATCTGCCTGCCTCTGCCTCCCGAGTGCTGGGATTAAAGGTTGCGCTACCACTGCCTGGCTTAGTGCCCTTCCTTCTGATGGCCCCTCTGACCTCCCCTTGGAGGGCCTGTCACTGTAACCCTGGAGTAGAAGGTCCCTGTTGCAGCCTGGCATCTCGGGGAGGGGTTTGTGTGTGCTGTGCCTCTCCTGGCTGGGCTGTGCCCTGTTGCCTTTGTAGTCCTCCTCTTCCCACCTGGAGCGGCTCTGGGCAGACTCTCTCCTAGAGCACATCTGTCTGCTGTTTTGTGTTGGCCTTTGAACTTCTGTCAGAGCTAAGTAAGTGGATTCACCTTCTTGTCCTCCACACAGAACCTAGTGGCCACAAGGAAGGCTCTACAGATAGACCTCAGCCTCGACCCTGGCTGCACGGCTCACGTGCCACGCAGCTGTCACTGTGTTCCTTTTAGCTTTGTTTCCCCTTAAATCTTCACTGTGACAACAGCTGTCCTCGACACCAGGTGTCAGGAGTCCAAAGGGAGAGATACCTCGAGTAGGGGCCAGCTTCTCCAGACTAAACTCACACCCCTCTCAATTCTTACAGAAGGAGATGGACAATTATGAGGCCCCATTCCACTGCCTGGCCAAGCAGTTCCACCAGCTGTACCGGGAGAAGGTGGACATGTTCCATACCCTGGTGTGAGGGTAGAAGTGGACTGTCCCACAGGAATGGCTGGGCTGGGCTGCTGTGAGCCCAGCAAACCTTCATCTCTCCAGAACACAGAAGACGGACTTGCCTGGGACTTCTCAAATATCCACCATAGCTTTCAATAAAATGAGGAAAATGAATAGCGGCTGCTTCTGTTCTTAGTTGGGGCTATGCCTGTAACCACTGCTGCACTGGCCAGAGACAGGGCATCCCTGGCCTGTTTCTGCCCTCCGTGTATAGGGCCTCCCTGCTCTGGAGGTCCCCTATAAGCCGACAGTAGAGAAGGCAAACCCTAGGCTGGTTTGGCAGGACCTGTGAGCTACCGCAGCACTGGGACACAGAAGCACCCCTGACTGGAGGATCTCCAGGTACCATGCCTTCTTGGGAGGACTACTGTTCCAAGGGAAGCAGTGACCCCTCCTCATGCCCACTGCTCAGCTTGGGCTTCAGCCACCCCTCCCAGTTATGCTGCTGGGAACCGAGTGCACAGACACCCGAGAGCTGGCCACTTCCTGTAATGGCCACCTCTCCACTCAGAAGCTGGGCAGCTGCGCCTCCCTCTGCATTGAGCTGGACCACTTTCCACGCTGTTAGTGCTCACATTCATTCTGTTGAAATACCACTTCACCCTTTCGCTCCCCGATGAAGGCCTGTCCGCACCAGGGCTATGGCTACAGTCTGGCCCCTGAGGCCTCCTAGAATTGTCACTCTTTCTTGGGGACCCCCACTTCCTCAGTGACCCCCTGGCCCACAGGACTTGGTCACACCCTGTCTTCAGATCTCTACGTTTTAGGGGAGCATCATATCAACTAGGGGCGTACAGCTGTATTCTCTGTGGATTTGGTGCATCTGTGCCCTTCAGTGGTGGGAGGCTGCCATGACCCTTCCAGCTGTCAGCTGAACAGTCCCCCTGCCCCTTTCCAGGTAGGACACAGCTTTTTCTCAGGGCGACCTGGCTTACACATAGCCTCTTTCCAAATGTCTCCATCAGGGCTCTCTGCAAGGTCCCTGGTGCAAATGCCATGATGGAATAGCTCTGGTTATGGCTGGGGACCCACCACGTCTCTCCAGGGCTAAGTGCATTACGTGTACCCACCAATTCTGTCCCTACAGCATGGAGTCTGTTAATACCCTACTCTTACAAATGACAAGCTGGAAGGAGAAAACTAAGCTCAGCCAAGGGGCAGCAGAGCCAGAAAGCTCAACTCCAGAGCCAGCAGCTCCCCCACTCCCCTCCTCCCTCCCCCTGAGCTTGGCAGGAGCTGTGGAGGCCACACTGCCTGCAGAGGGTGAAGGTCAGGCTGCTTGCCAAGGTCACAGGAAGGAGAGAGAACTGTGCAGGGCATCCAGGCACAGAGCAGCAGCCAGCACCAAACCCTCACATCTCCATTCCTCATGTCCTGACTCCTTAGCATGCACCAGCTATGACCACTACAGGCTGGTAACTAACTGTGTCTCTTCAAAACACCACCACTGAGGGTCGACTGTAGGCCAGGCACATGTCTAGACACTAGCAATCCAGGCTATGGCAGGTCCTCAGTGTACAACCAAAAAAAGAACAGGAAGCATTTTCCATCATCCTAAAACTGGTTCGTGGGGCCCCTGAATCTATCCCTGAGATCCTGTGCCACAGAAACCATGTCCTAAAGGTCACTTGTCTCAGTGGCTGCCCTCAGCCACCTCTGACCCCTCTGCTCCCCGCTCTACCCTTCCGTGAGACCAAGGTGACCAAAGTAGAATTAATGATGCCACCTCTCTTCATCCTCGGAACCTAGTGAGGGAAGTCCCCCAGAGAGCGCTGCAGCTAACGGCACTGCCAGTAAGAGGTCCTGGCACTGGGCTCCCCAGCTGGAGGCCAGAGAGGCTGCAGAGCTGGTGCCAACTGAAGGCTAGGTGCTGGTGCCCTTGCAGGAGCCCGGGAAGTGTCCCTGCAGTTGGTTTGCCTCTCTGGGGACTCATAGGGAGGCATCTGCTTCCAAGAGCACCAGGGACCTTGCAGAGAGCCCTGATGGAGACATTTGGAAAGAGGCTATGTGTAAGCCAGGTGGCCCTGAGAAAAAGCTGTGTCCTACCTGGAAAGGGGCAGGGGGACTGTTCAGCTGACAGCTGGAAGGGTCATGGCTGCCTCCCACCACTGAAGGGCACAGATGCACCAAATCCACAGAGAATACAGCAGACAAAACCAAACCGAGAGGGGACCTTGGGGAGTGTGCCACTCCTTCCATGGCACCCCAGAGAGAGAAAGAAAGAGTGCACTTTTCCCTCCCCTTCCTGGGAAGAGATTTGAACAGACTCACAAGCTTCAAATTGGCTGATCTAAGGCATAATGAGCGAGCGTGCCTGACCACGCGGAGGAGCCTTGGCGAACGCAGCAGGAAGGGAGAGCAGGCTGGCTTTAATGGATAGAGAAGGCTCAGGGCTTGGGTATTGAGCCCATGGGGCTAGATTCCCTGGCAAACTGGTTCTACCGGTAAATAAGACCTTTTCAGACAGTACAGATAGAAACATGAAAAACTGGAAACATGGAAACTGTGGTAGCTGGAAATTAGGGGAGTGGGCCGGGATAGATGGGACCCTGAGGAGAGGAGCTTTAGAACTGAGGTCAATCTGCACAAGCCTATCTTGGGGTACAGTCATGGGCAGTGGAGGATGGAAGGTGCAAAGGCTCCAAAGCCTTCCAGTGGGGGAAGAACCCCAGGCCAGTGAAGACTAGTCTAGGGGTGCTGAGGAAGTGAGGAAGGCAGGTTGGCATGGGCTTGTGGTGAGAGGAATACAGGTCCGATTCTAGAGCAACAAGAGTCAGCGAGAAGAAACAGTGTGGCTCATCTACCTTCCTGGTGCCTGACAAGTGGTTTATCCCCTTTGAAGACACGTTCTCTGTGAACAGACATTCATGCTGTAACTGTGCATGTAGGGTGTATTGTAGGGGCATGAGGGGAAGATGTCCTTGTCCGCCTTATTTTGGGCTGGGGTCTCTCACTGAACCTGGAGCTCACAGATTAAGCCAGACTGCCCGGCCAGCAAGCTTGGATATCCACCTGTCTCCCTTGTCTCGCCTACCCCCGCCCCAGCAGCACTATGGTCACAGATGTGTGCATTCATACCTGATCTTTACATCGGTTCTGGGATATGAACTCAGGTTCTCATACTTGCACAGTAAGCATTTTGCTGAGTGGACTGTGTCCCCCAGCTCCAGGAATTATGTCCTGAGCGTGTGTGAGCACCTACTGCATACCAGCCCGTTCCAGTGAGTGACGCCTGTGCTCAGGGCTTATGTTCCAGTGGGATGGGAGAGGGGTTGGATGAAGTAGGTTAATAGTACCTGCTGTCAGCGCCCAGGAGAGCAAGGGAGAACAGAGGCCATGCAGAGCCAGGGTGAGGGCTGTAATATGAAATGGGCAGGTCAGAGAAGCCCTCACCATCAAGGTGACATTGAAGCTGTATTTAAAAGTGGATAAGGCCACTGGCATCCTTGAAACATAGGTCCTGGGCCACCCGCAGAGATGGAGCCTTCCTGCTGCAGTGGTCAGGACAGGGACTCAGTCAGGTGAGCAGGAGATGTGTGCATGGGCGCAGTTTCTGCCTTACAGTCGCCAGCAGGCTGTGGAGTCAGGGCTTCTAACTTCGGAGGGATACACGGAGTACCCAGCTGGAGTCTCCTAAGATAGCCCCAGGAACATGCAACAGCCCAGGGACTGAGAAGAGGGCTCTGCCTATGGCCCTCCTGTTCTATGGCACATGGCCCGAGGCTCCCTGAAGCTGGCCAGCAACAATGCCCTTGGCTACCCCTTATGTTATTGTTGAGACAAGGGTTCATGTAACCCAAGCTGGCCTCGAACTTGCTATGTAGTTGAAGATGACTCTGAATTTCTGATCCTCCTGCCTTGACCTCCAGGGTGCTGGGATTACAGGTGTATGCCAATATGTCCAGTCTGTTAGGTCAAACTCAAGGCTGTGTACATGCTAAGTAAGCACTCAACCAGCTGGGCTAAATTCCAAGACTTTCGGCTATTTCTTTTCCTCTCACAGAGAGGGCTGGAGAGACCACACAAGTGGGAGTCATGTCTTGGAGCCAATGTTCAAAAGCATAAAACTTTTTCCCTGTATAAAAATACTTGACACAGTGAGGTAACCCAGACACAGAAAGACAATTATAGCATGTACTTACTCATAAGTGGTTTTTAAACAAACAAACAAAAAAAAAAAAAAAAAAAAAAAAAAA